CTTTTGTTGTCTTTGTCGTATTATTTATATGTTTCTTTTGTAAATTTATTCTTCTTTTCATTATGGTTAGGATTACAATAATCATACTTGATATATCAGCAAGACATGATTAGGTGGTTAGCTGACATGTCACTTGCTTTTGTTAGCAATAACAATCAAATTCTAAAATAAGAGAATAAAATACTCAACACACAAACAACAATTTAAGGAGATTTAGGAACATGACTACATCATCGAGATTAGAGCTAGTATTTATTATTATTATTATTAGAAATATGATTACATTAAGTATACATATAAACTATTAAGGCATAACCCTACACCCTAACCCAATTAGTTTGTAACCCAATAAATAGGCAATCAAAGTCTAATATGCTCTACACTAACATTTGTCTGCCCATTATGAATATGAGTCCTACACACCTATGCACAACAATTTTGTATGACTCCTTTGATAGAGCCTTGTTTTGGAGTCCTCGACTGATCGTCTAGAAGATATTTTGTCTTAGTTTAAACTCTGATGTATATAATGTATGTATGAAATTTTATAAGATGTAATTATACCATACATTTTAATTTATGTATGTTTTAACTTCTATTTTGATGTTGATTTTCGACCGCAAATATGGTGACTTGTCAGTAATTACATACTTTGTAAAAAATTTGATTTTTTATGTGAATTTTTAATCTTAATTTGTTTTAAAAGCGATAATAATTAATAATTTAATGTAATTAATACTATTACACGATTACATTTTATTAGATGAAATTATTAAAGAATTTAATAAAGAGAGTAGTTATTCACTTTATATATATAATAAATTTTACTAAGCATTATCTCTTGTGTTTTTTTTAAGTTCAATAAGACTTTATTTTCTTGTAACTGCATTATCTTTTGATGATCACAATTTCCACCTTACCTAATTATATTTTTTCATAAATATCATATTTTGCAAATTTTTTTGTAATAACTATATATTTTTAATTATTATTTTTTTAAAATTAAAATTTACACTAAATAAAATAGTTAATTGTGGGACTAAAATATCTCAACATTTAATATGTATGAACAATAAGAAACGTTAAAAGTGTGATTTTGTTAACCTAAACTACATAAAATAACTAACTTTTGAAATAATTAAAATAGCATAGCTCTATTATTAGCATGAAAGAAAAAATTTCTCTCTCAATATGTTTTTGAAATCATATTCTCATGAATGTCTTTTTTTTCTTCCCTTTTTTGTGCTAGCTATTTTATAGCTAAATTGCAAGCATGTTTACTAAGAATTGTTATTAATATATATATATATATATATATATATATATATATATATAT